TGCTACAACTACAACGATATCAAGAAAAACAGATGAAAGGTGGCGTTGAAAATTCGGTAGCTACTAATCAGACTCACACAACAACAGCGATCACGACTCCGCGTTTACCATCTCGAAAAAGACCGGCACCTTCGAACATTCCAACAACAACTACGTCTACAAACGTACAGCCATCGACAAACGATAAAGATAACGAATGGGCAGAAACACCTAGGAAGAAACTCGCGCCAAAGCAAGAGCCTCGTGAAACACCAAAGTAAGTCTCGTTAAAGAAAAGAAAAAAAGAACACTTGTAATATTCTTGCATTGTTTAAAATGATATTACCTGTTTTGAATAGAATACCAAAAATTGAATTATCAGAAAATGAAACAACGCCGCAAAAGCGAGCAGCAAAGTTAAAAGACAGTCAAGAACAACGAAGAAAACAGCAAGTGCATTCCCGAATGCAAGTTTTATTATTTAGACACAAAGAACTACTTAAAAAGGATATTCTTAAGAAGAGAGCGTTGCTTGAAAAAGAATTACAAATAGACATTCAGGTATGTCATATTGTAGACTTAATAGAACTACCATAGATAATATACAATTATATAATTTTGTCGTTTTTTTTTTTTTTTTTTTTTTTTCTAAATTATAGAAAGATTTATCAGCGGAGCTAGCATCAAGAACAAAAGCAGAGAGACATAAACAGGATGAAGTAAAGGTGGGAAGTGCAAAACGTAAGGCAAATGCTCAAGTGGCCCAACAAGTGAGTCCACCTAATAGAGGTGGAAGGCCAAAGAAATATAAAGCAGAAGGAAAGAATAGTACACCACCTGGTGCTTCTTCAACTGCTGCTACTCCGAATAGAATTAAAAAAGAGAAGCTATATTGTCTATGTAGAACGCCATACGATGAAACAAAGTAAGTAATTAACAAATTTTCTATTCATTGTATTTAATTCATCGTTATAATTATTCTCTTCTATTAGGTTTTATGTAGGATGCGATCTCTGTAATAATTGGTTCCACGGAGATTGCGTTGGTATTACAGAAGAAATGTGTAAAACACTTTCAGAATTTGTTTGTACAGAATGCAGACATGCTAGAGATACGCAGGAATTATATTGTTTATGTAAACAACCCTATGACGAATCTCAGTATGTGATATTAATTATCTTCTCGTTATACTTAATTATTTGATGTCAAGATAAACGTTTTTATTTTTATAGGTTTTATATTTGCTGCGATAAATGTCAAGACTGGTTCCATGGTCGCTGCGTAGGTATCCTTCAGTCGGAAGCAGACAATATCGACGAATATGTTTGTCCAAATTGTCAACGAAACTCCTCCGTTAATTTTGCTAATATGAAAAATCTGAATGCAAAGGACCTTGATTTGCTAAAGAAATTAATTAAGCAAATACAGGTAAAGTAATAGCAGACACGAATCAAAAATATCGTAAATAACATTTTTATTCAATCTTACTGATATTACAAATTTAAATGTTCAGGCACATAAGAGTGCTTGGCCATTCATGGAACCGGTAGATCCAAACGAAGCACCAGATTATTATAAAGTTATAAAAGAGCCAATGGGTAAGTTTGATTTTTAGTTCTACAAATGATTATTGCTTATAAGTCATATTTTATTAAATCTGTGGGTCTTTTATTCTGTAGTGATTATTATAATATTATTTTATTTCTCGCAATTACAGATCTACAGACAATAGAATTGAGAATAAACGACAAATCTTACAAAAAGTTAAGTGAATTTATTGGGGATATGACAAAAATATTTGACAATTGCCGCTATTATAATCCAAGGGAATCACCTTTCTTTAAGTGCGCAGAATCTTTAGAAACATATTTTGTTCACAAGATAAAGAGTTTGAGAGAAAAGTTCTCTGAAGGAAAGTAAGCAATCAAAAAAAAAAAAACGAAAAAACAAAGGAACTGTAACTATAAATAAGTGAAAGTGCGAAGTATCAGCAATTAATTTATGCGGTGTAACTACAGAATTGATCTGTGCCAGTAAATGTAGAAAACAGACATTCAAAGTAGTTATACATATGTAAGAGTAGAATGTATAAGTTCACTATTTATTAGAATTGTGTGAACGTCTGATTTGTTGCCGCAGAAGCGAACTTAATTTCAATTGTGCCGTACAGTGAATTTTGAACCGGAACTTATAGTATTTTAAACTTAACAGAAGAGGTATAGTAAACGCCGATAGATATTCAGCAAGGAACAGTGTAAAAAACGATCATTCTCATCGTTTATTGTAAGACTAAGTTATGCTTAAATTTGAAATAATCTTAATACTATATATTTTTCATAACTATTTCTGTCGTTTATTTATATCTGACAATAAAGTATTAGTTTATTAAATATACAATAATTGTTTACAGGTTTTCTTCATTTTTACAAAATAAAACAAAAATTAGTCGCTATAAAATTACAAACCATGAACTAGTAAATAATAAGATTTTTATATTAGAAAGAAATGTGCAATACAAGAATTTACTTGGTATATTTTGTCTAATTTAGAAAAACACTTTTTTTCTTTAAATATAAAGATCGTCATAAGTTGTGGTTCATAGTTCATATGTTCTGTGCAAGCATTATTATTTATATACATCTATCAAATACATGTAATTATGCATGTTACAAAACTAATTACAAATATATCGAATCAGTGCCATTGGGCGTTTAGAACGATGAGTTTTTAGTAACCCAATGCAATATATTTTATGAATTCATAAAAAGAAAAACAGAAAGGAATGCCATTCAAGGGTTTGCTGAGCACAAGCAAAAAATAAAATGGTCCAACTATTATGACATTACATCTTATTTAATAGGAGGAAAACAAGTTTTCTCTCATATAGACGTAAGAATTTATTTAGCAAGCGCATAATAAATTGTACAAATTTGTTTATTGTGCTCACAATTATGTTGTTTTACCACATAAATTTTCTATAAAATTGTTTATAAGTAAAACGTACGATATTAGTTCATAAGAAACAAGCAGAGATGCTTGCTTTGTATATATTTAAGTAGAAATGTCTATAAAAAAAATGAATTCTAGAATTTTGGTTCTTATGCGCTGATGATAAAGAACGTCAGTTGAACAGAAAAACTGAATTCAATGAAAATACTGTTTATATTTTAGCTATTAAAAAGTACCATTTGTGAAAATTACTAAACTATACTAGAATGTACATGTACGAGTATATTCAGTTTCTATATTCTTCAAGGATATATACAAAAAAACGCAAACATTATTTCATGAACATCTAACATATATACATACAATAAATATTCATACAGATTAAAAAAAAGTTTCACTTGGCAGTGACATAAAAGAGTGAAAGTACATGAGTGTTTGACCGTCGGAGAATTGAAACTTTTATGAGATTAAATTATGTACAGATTTATTCTGTTATGATCTAAAAATATTTCCATATTAGGAAACCATTCTCTGACGTTGACAACTGTCGTGGATTTGTGTATGTATATTAACATGTATCCTTCACAAATTTGAGATGCATCTTGATGATCATTAATTGTTTGTTCAAGTAAAATGAAAGCAGATCGCTCAAAGCAGGTTGTACATTTTCGCCAGGATCATGCTTGTACAGTATTTTTAATTGAAATTTCACAGAACCTGGCACTGATCTGTTTTTTACCTTCGACTTTCAATTATAGTTACAGGATATTCATTACTTTGCCCAGATTTATACACGGCATTAGCTTTATCATCCGCTTGTTTTTCAATTATTAGTATCATAAGCGTCTCATTAATTTATTAAAATACTATTTTATGTCTATTTTATTGTATTCTAAAAGCTTTCTTTTATATTATTGGAATGTTATTTATTTTTGTTCACTAAATTCTTTACTGGCTTTTCTGTTCATATCAAATTAAAGCAAATATTTTTAAAGAAATTTTATTTAAAAAAAAAAAAATACTTTAATGGATTTACTCTTTAAAATCACACGTATATTTGAAATTCTTCTGCTTTGTCTCAAGACTCGTATGGACTTACAAATACTAATAAGTAATAATATGTACTTGCATTAAGGTATCGATACGAAAGGAATAAGTGCACTAATATAAAGTAATAACTCGTACTACATTTATTTCCCTCCTGAGGCAAGCAGAAGAAATGAATCGTATTTTAAAAAGTTAATCCTTCGATATTTCCACGAGACGCATATGAACTCATAAAATATTCCTAAAATTTCGAATACGTTTAAATGCATAAGTGTAGCCAGACTACATACATTCATTATGTCGCGTATTCCTTACATAAGGACTGGTACTTGACGATACATTGAAGTAAAGTCTTTCTGTAAAAAAATCTGTAGAAATACTTAAGGTATGATATTAGATATTAGTCGTGTAAGGTTTGGCATGCTACTGAAGTGTAAAAACTGGGTGAAGAAATTGTAGCCGTGTAAATTACACGCTGCTGTATTTCATTGTACCCACTTATTAATCATGTAACGAAGTGTTTATTTCTATTAAGAGAAGATTAAAAAAAAAAAGCAACAAAGTGTGATTACATAAACTATATTCGTCTAAATCTAATATTACTAGTTTATAATAAATATATTTGTACTAATTTTAATCATAAACTTTGTTGTTTTTATTGCACTATAAATATAAGTTAGAGAGAACATAGTACGTTAATTTACCTTTTTTAATTTGTAATTGCTTAAAAAATAATAAACTACTGTATGACAGTGGCTTGATGAAACTTCAAAGGAACACATATTAATACCGTTCAAAAGTTTATTTTTTATTTCATTTATGTATGAAAATAATCTTTTGTATCGAAATTATCGAGTATAAATGATTTTAAATCATTTTCAATATATAGTTATTCTAATAAACATTAGTTTTACTTTTGCTGCCAATATGTAATAATTAAAAATTCAAGTAATATTATATAGAATCTAAACTGTTAGCTGTTTACATTCTTCTGTCATGATATGAAACAAAAGTAAGAATATGTCATTCATATAAATGGATTACATATCTTTTATGATTCCTTTTCAAATTTTTCTACATTATCTTTTTATTAATATGAATTAAATACATATGTGTACATAATAGAATTTTATAGGTTCACGATATCAGCGATAATAATAAATGCAAGAATTTTCTAGAACATGTTATGTAAAAATATTTGGTATGCTATTCAAAGAGGTCCAGAATCTCGCTGTAAGTACAAAGTAAATACATTGCAAATTACTGTTTAATTAAAATACTGTTACTATTATTAATATACTATATTATTCCTAAACATTTATAGTACTACATCATGTACCAAAGGCACCTCTACCTGGAGAACCTCCTAAACCATATACACTTACTGAAATTCCTGGACCAAGGTCAGAGGCTCTTCTAAATGAGTTTTCTAAAATTCAGGTTCGTATTCATATCTTTACAAAACAAGTCTTACAATAGTGAATATTAATAAGATACAATTGAAAACTATTGCAGCAAGTAGGCTCCATTCAATATTTCGCAGACTATCAAAGGTCTGTTGGAAATTATTTGGCAGATATCGATGGAAATGTTTTCTTAGATATGTTTATGCAACTCTCAACTCTTCCACTTGGATATAATCATAGGACTATTCTTGGTGCACTATCATGTGTTGGGAATCAAGTAAACAATATATACAATTGTTATCCTCATTAAAAATATCTAATGAATATTAATATCAATTTTCAGAGAATAATGGCAAATAGACCAGCATTAGGACTGTTTCCTGGCTTAGAATGGCCATGTAAACTTCAAGATACGTTACTTCAGCCATGTGTAAGATACTTTTATTTAGCAACAGTGAAATTATAAATAATGATTAATTAAAAAAAAATTTTTATAAACATTCTATGTTATCAGGTAGCTCCAAAAGGATTACCATGTGTTTTCACAGCTATGTGTGGTGCCTGTTCAAATGAACATGCTATACAAATGGCATTCATCAAATATGCAGAAAGACGTCGTCGAGGCAAAGATTTCACAGATGAAGAAAAGAAAAGTGCACCTTGTAATAAACCACCTGGTTGTCCTGAATTATCTATCCTTTCTTTTGAAGGTATTTTAACACAGAATTGTAGATATCCCAATGCCATAAACTGATTAAATTTATAAAATTAGGAGGATTTCATGGTAGAACGTTTGGTGCATTGGCATTAACACATTATAAATATATGATGAAAATTGATATACCTTCCCTTCCATGGCCAATTGCACCTTTTCCACAATATTCATATCCATTAGATGAGCACGAGAAAGAAAATAAAGAAGAAGATGCTAAATGCTTGGAACAAGTAAATTTGTTATTTGTGTGTTTTGTAACAATCCTATGGCTAAGTATTATGAAATTTATCGATTGAAAGGTAGAGGATTTAATAGAAAGCTATGAGAAGAAAATGCCAGTAGCTGGTATTATAGTTGAAGCAATACAGTGTGAAGGAGGAGATAAACATGCTTCCCCAGACTTTTTTCATTGTTTACAAGATATTACTAAAAAGGTGGATATTTAATGTTTTCTTTGGATTCTTATGAAATAATAAAATTCAAGGTGCAGAATTTTAATATAAATATAAATTACACAGAAGAACATTGCTCTAATAATGGATGAAATACAAACAGGAGGTGGTGCAACGGGACGAATATGGGCTCATGAGTATTTTGAATTGAATACTCCTCCTGACATAGTTACATTCAGCAACAAAATGCAAGCTAGTGGTTTCTATCATTCTTCTGAATATATGTAACAAATTTTTTATTAATTGTATTATTTGAAGATACTATTAGTCCATAAAAACGATTAATTATTCATTCAGGCCAGCGCATCCGTATAGAATTTTTAGTGCCTGGATGGGTGACCCAAGCAAGATACTAATATTAGAGGCTGTATTGCAAACTATTGAAGCAGAAGATCTATTAACTCACGTTTGCCAAGTTAGTAATTATTTACTTTGTCAATTGAACGCACTACAGCAGGAGTTCCCTCAATTGATGTGTGCTGTACGAGGCAGAGGATTTATCATTGCATTTGATATGGTAACCAGGGATATGAAGAATAAATTAATGAATCAAATACGTTGTAAAGGTAAACTGCATTTCATGATATGTACATACTTGTTTATAATCATTATTACTATAATAATTGTTATGATACATTTATAAATGTATAGGTATACAAGTGGGTGATTGTGGTGAAAAATCAATTCGATTAAGACCATGCTTGATATTTCAAGAATATCATGCAGATATCTTTTTAGAACATCTTCGTGCCTGCTTAAAAGAATTTGCGGAAAGTTGATGTATTTAGATATTGCCGCGTTGTATATTTATTAAATATATATTTTAATAAAAAAACAATGTATATTTTAATATATTTCAACAGCAGCGTCATTAGCGAGATGTAGGGGATGTAGGGGGTGTAAGGAATGCATAAGACTCCTCATCGTCCCCTGGGGGAGAGTGGCGGGGGAATGTCAGATTCCAACTAACTAAAGCCCCACGGGACCAACACTGGTCTAAAGGTGGGCTCCGGGACCTTATGTGGAAAAGTGAAAAATACTGTGCAACCATAACAGGTATTTAAATATAATAATTTTTATTTTCCTTACCCCTTAAAAATTCGTACAAATTATTTACAAATATAGTTTGAATTCTATTAATAAAACTAACAAAATATTAAACTCTGAAACATTTACAATAATTTCATTTTTATTTTTTTACTTAGCATTCTTCTCTTCATTTAATTATGTATACTGCGTGAATCCCAACAGCATTGCTTGTACAACCTCTCCTTGTTGTAATACAGTCTTTTGTGTTGTACGTGCTGGTAACATTAATAATGCATTTGCATTTCTGCAGCTAAGTAATTTACTACTAATTTGGTTTCCAGTACTATAAGCTAATGGTAGTATATCTGTGTCAGTCCATTTTAATATTGCTCTTACGTATTCGGGACGCGGATCCAAATTATAAGATGATGTCAACTACCATAAGAAATATATTAAATATCGTATAATTTAGTAGTTAATAATGAAATAAAAATAGTACATACTTTTGCTTTCACAATAGTAGGTGTGGAGTAGTCCTTAGATAATTGCTTTAGTAAAGGTAGTACAAATAAGTACATAGTAACGGTTGCCGAAACTGGATTACCGGGTAAACATAGCAAATATTTTTTTCTATTTTGGAACATACATGTTGCAAAAGTTGTTGGTTTTCCAGGTTTCATGTTTACACGTCCTGAATATACATTTACTATTAATTTCTCTTTATAAAGAATAATGATCTTATTTCATTATTAGTCTTACCAAAATGTATTGTAGCGTCAAAATAATGTTGTAAAATAGGTTTTAACATATCTCTGTCACCCATAGATACAGAACCTGATGTAATTAACACGTCAACTTGTTTTAAAGCATGTTTAATCTTGTTCACCATTACGTTTTCTCTATATAATACGGAAAAAATTAATTTACACTTGTATTACTAGATATGTATAAATATGCTTACTCATCTATTGCAATGCCCATGTCCAGAGCATCATAGCCGTTTTCTCGTAACATTAATAACAATGTAACTTTGTTGCTATCGTATATATGCCCCGGCATTAAAGCTGTCCCAGGGCATTGTAATTCATCTCCAGTAGACAATACACCAATTTTTGGAACATCAGTGACCAATACCTGTTTGTAACCACATGCTGCAGCAAGGCCTAGTTCTATTGCTCCAAGTTTTGTTCCGGCCTTTAGAATTAACTCTCCTTTTTTAATATCACAGCCAATAGGTCTTAAAATAAATTGTATTAATTATTTTTTTATTTAGTTATTTCCGTATTATTAAAAGTAAAATACCTAATGTCTTGTCCATGTTTTACTTCTGACATAATTTCGATTTCTTTCTCTTCTGTATTATCGTCGGTTCCTTTTATAAGTTTGGTATCTTCAACTTGAACAACAGCTGTTGCGTCTACAAAATAATGAAAAATAAATATGAAAATTATCATAGATAAAATCAAGGATTACACTTGGATAAAGTATGGTTAAATTTACCATCTGGAATCGGAGCACCTGTATTTACTCTTACACATGTACCAGGTTGAAGAATAATTCCAGTGGCCTACAAATACACGAGGGTAAAATTTGCGGTACTTTTATAATCATAATTTATCGTAACTGTAGCTTACAACGCCCCCTGCTTTTATTCCATTCAATACTTGTCTCCTGCCTTTTCCATCATTTGCTAAGACTGCGTAACCGTCTTTAATAGACGCTCTAAATGGTGGTAAATCATATTTAGAATACAAATTGCCATTCAATATTTTGCCATGAACTTTTTCCAAATCTTCATTTGATTTGTTGCTTAATGGTTCAACATATTTTAATATCATTTGTAAAGCTTCTTCTACAGAAATCATAGGGTATGGCGATTCTCTGTTTCGTTTAGTTATACTTCCTAAACATAACTATAAGAATTTCTTGATATACATTTTCTGTAATACATTCATCAAATAAGAAGAAAAATCCAATCTTACTGAAGTTTTATTTCGACATTCTTGGACAGAGATTTTTTCAGTAGATTCATTTTGTATATACCCGTGCGCGTCTCTTATGCTTTCCTTGTTGTCTTTAAGTAGATCAATAGCATGAGGTATAGCAGGTGCAATTATGCTTAAACATTCCTTTGCAGCTTTTGGAGACCCTGGTAGGTTAATAATTATTGTTCTACCCCGTATTCCACATATAGCTCTTAATAGAATGCATTAAAATATTATTAATAGTGGGATCTATATCATTACAACTAACTTTTAGTAAATAATACCTTGATAACATAGCCATTGGAGTAATTTGTAGACTTGACATTAGCATTGCTATAACTATCCCAGGAGCTTCTTTTTGAATAATTTCTTTTGTTGCTTCTGGAGTTACATCTCTTTTTGAAAATCCTGTCCCACCAATGGTGAAAATAACATCTACATGTCCGCTATCACTCCAAAAAATCAGCTTCTCCTAAATACAATGAATAAATGTAAACATTGTAATGCCTTCTTTAAAATTCTGTATTCTTATAATAAATGAATATACCTTTATTGCATATGCATCATCCGGAACAATACTTTTATGACATATTTGACCTCTTAAAATTTTTTCAATTTCAGTTTCTACCTCTGGTCCACTTTTGTCCTCCTTTTTATACTCAAAGCAGCTATCGCTTACTAATAATAAAAGTTAATAAAATTTTCGTATATAGAAACCCTTATTATTATTTTATGATACAGTAGAATAAGTAAAGTTAATAGTGGTAAATAAACAAGAAATTCAATAATAAGTTGAAAAACAATAAAATATATAATATTTACCTGTTAATAATCCAAATCTTATCGAATTCATAATTTTATATAAATATTGCCACGTATTTAAATCAGTCACTGTGTATATATAACTAGCATAAATCTATATATACTTGATGTCACGAGACTCCATAACTGCGAAAAGACCAGTTTTCGTTCTTTTCTGCGCATTGTCGCTCTGATTGGCGATACTTCCAGCGGAAGTGGAAAACGATTGGCGGTTCGCTTTCCCCCACCATCGCTGCGTTCCCCCATCATCTTCCAACCTGCGCGCTTAGTTATGGACTCTCGTGACATCAAGATACGACTGTTATACCGATTGCGCAGACCTAATCTCACCTTGGGGTAGAAGGTACCCCAAAGTCGTAATTCTTCGGTAACAAAGGCATATTCAGTCTTAATGGATCTCTAGTCACTGTAAAAACATTCTGAATCAAATGCAGGGAAGTGAGAAGTCTCAGTCTCAGTGGTCTCAGCGATAGTAGTGCAACAGAAGGATCGAGGTGCTTGGAGATTAGTCTTTGCACATTAGCTTGTGAAGTTTTGTTGACAATTGGTTTACTTTTACGTCGCAGGAATTACTGATAACTACGGTAATATTTTTATTAATTATCTTTCATTTTGTCGTTAATGTAAACAATGTGTGGGAAAGTAGCATTCTATTAATAAGAACAGTATATAGATTATTTTGGCCTACTTACGCATAAAAATCCAAGATGGGAGGCACGACCATACACACCCCCTTCGCTACATCCAATCAGCGTAAAGTTTCGTTTCTTAAGGCTAACAACCTTCGACTTTCGTCGCATTTATACAAACGAAGTAAAGTAACGGGGATAAATGTTTATCTGACAAAAAAGAATGTAACTGTTTTGTATTGTATAAATGTATTTAACACAAATGATCACAATTTATATATTAATTTTATATTGAGTTGAAATGAACGCATAACACATTGAAATCTCAACAATGTCTCTCAGTAATGTGTTAAATAACATTTCGGAGAAAGTTAATTATATCTCATTTTGAGTCGCTACTTGAAGCTTAAAATTTCTATTTTGCCCCAAACTCGTTAGAAGCACATCTTAAAAAAACATTTATACACGCTTTTAATATTCCATATGGATATGATCAATATATTGTTTACAATGATCTAAGAATTTTAATTTATACACGGTGATTCATCATATTTACAGGAAGCCGATATTGTATTAAACATCAACCTTTTTCCTTTTCAATTTATATTTTTTACTGCGTCATTATCGTTAACGAGCGATTGGTTTAACTTTTTCAGATTATCTACTTAAGAAAATTATTTGAAACGGTAACACGAAGGTGTCAGATTAATTATTAACACGTTTTTTAAACATCAGAGGGAGAGCACCTTTTCTTCAAGTTTATCCATATTTTTAAGTAGGAATCCAAATATTTTTTTCGCCCAAGGTTCCTAAAATACAATATCCACCACTGAATTGTAATTAGCGTAGTAATTGTTATTTATCAGAATTCATTGTGACGCATTTATCAGTGCGTAACGATTGAGTACGGATATTTGATAATGCAAGCATGTTTATTTAATTATGGTACTAAAACAGCTGTATCTTATCAAAGACTGTTCATTCATAACAAGAATAATATACATATGTAAGTACTGATTATAAGAAGTCGCGCGGGTTGATACAGGGGCAAGAAGAGGTACTATGCACACATTGGCTGACTTAAATAAAATATATACTTAAATGAAATATTTCAAAAACTTTCTCGTTCGATATAAATCAGAGCGAAATAATAAAATGAAACTATAATTTTTAAAACATTTACTTGTTGAGCAATCTGTTATTGTGAAGAACTGGTTCAAAGCACTACTTAACGCAAGAAGTCCTATTATTTATACGCATCCGGTTATGTTGTAAGCGCGAAGAGGTTTATGTTATTTTTATTTGCTAATATTTCGAGGATAAATATTATTATGAACCACGTTATTATAATTTCTAATAGACACTGACTA